CTATCTCCCACTCGTTATAACTCTTCCATTTCCACTTCCTGCTTATTTCCTACCTCTTTCTTCCTCAAGTTTAAAATATATCTGCTCATTTCATTAATTTCTTATTCATATATCACCAACTCGAGCCTCCTTAACACCTTTTCGCTATATTGACTCCCTTTAAATGGGGCAATTTCATTCAATCGTTTCACACCGCTGCAGTCTTTGAAGTCGAAGCCGTGTTATAATTGAATACAAATACAAAGTAATCTGTTTTTCATCGCACTCAAATGACGCAATTACAATTTGCGAATGGCGATTACATGTGTGTGATATGAATTGTAGCACTCCGTTCTTTAACATGCAAATGTCAGTTATATTTTCTTCCTTTTTTGCAGTTTTCCACATGCACGCATACAAAAGTGAACAAACACACTGATAAAATAAAAATTATAACTGGAAAAAAAAAAAATATATACAGTGTGTACAGGTAAAATTTGTTTGCAGCTCGTTTTATTGATGTCCTCGATTCTGCATTGACAAAGGGCCTGACGCACAACTGTTGGAATATCAAAAAAAAAAAAAGAAAGTGGTATAAAAAATGCAAAAATGCCATGTGATGTGGAAATGGAAGTGTAACTGGACCAGTTTGCCAAATACACCAATATTGATTTATGACAGATGTTTTTGGAGGCGTCCAACATGAAATTTAATTTCGCTGTCTAAAGCTATCGACACTTTTAAGGGGTGTCATTTCATTTTAACAGTGGAACACGTCAAAAGTCAGCTGGCCAACAGAATTGTTGCGTACACTGCGCGAAATACGCGGCAACTCTTGCTATCTGAGTCATCGGCCAGCCAACGAAACGCCCCTTGCCAGATAGCTTATCGCTCCATCACATCTAGATCTTTGAACACGATCAGATAAACACTTGTTTAGCGGCAGTTGACTTTCCTCACTGATAACGACCTTAAGTAGTTCAATAAACGAAGAACACACATTATAAATCTCTTTGAGTGCAGCGGATATAACATCGGAAATGCACTATGATATGTCATATATCTTTAGTTACTCAACTATGACTAGACTTGAGTAGATATTTATTTATATTGTTATATTCTTTGTAAGACTTACGCTTCACATTATCTTAACACAAGTTTGAAGTGAGTATAACCACAGAGGTTTCTAGATTCTACTTCACTTAAAAGTAAAAAAACAAGTGTATTAAGATTATATAAAAATCTTGCTAAATGTTAGCAAATGGTTCTAGAGATATGCAGATAAATAAATTTATGTAGCTCGATATATACATAGATATATATATATATCACATATATCACAAGACTAGTTTCAAGTAATTATGATATCATTTTATCATTTTATTTTTTATTATAACTTTTTTTAAGTATATATACCTCACTAGCTTTTAAGAAATATTTTATATATGTAATAATTCACTGATAAATATTTCTTGTTAAATATTTCTCAAATTACCAATTCAATTTAAAAGAAAATTTTAATTTATTCCAAATCTTTTCAATCATATATTTATCTTAATTACATGGCTGCCAGCCAGTTGGACGACTTGGTGGCTCCACGCAGGGCCTCCAGACCCAATCGATCCAGGGCACGCACGCATTTCTCTCCTGGCTAAAGGCCGTGTTCGTCTGGCACCTGAAGAGTTCGGCCTTCCCATTCAGGGTGGCGCACCGCCAGTACTTGGTGGGATCGATGCAGTGGCGCTGTGGGTAGCCCACCTCAGATGTCAGCTTGCAGCCAGGCTCATAGGTATCAATGCATTGCCCAAGCACAGTCGAGGCCAAGCAGAGGCACGCGGCCAAGGCCAATAGGAGAGCTAATATGAGCAAATGGCAAACACTTAGTTAGCGTAATGGCAATGAATGGCTGGTCTTACCTAAAACTCGCATTATGGATAATGTCACTATCTGATGGCAACTGTCGATGCTTGGGCTGTGGCCCAACTGCTTTTATACGCAGCTTAAGTGGTGCATGAGGAGTGCAGTTCATTGTACTATGCTGAAGCGCTTATTTGTATGAGCACTCGATTGTCCATACGCATATCTCTGAAGTGCCGGAGCCAAGGTGACGATTTCTTTCAGTGCTCTCTATCTCTCTGATTGTTTTTCCCACAACAAATGATTCGATAATGCCCCCTCGTGTGAGCTGCTGTCCAGCATATAGCATGCAACTCACGCATTCTGCAATGGCTGAAAAGACAACAGAAAAAAAAAAAAGAAAATAATACAAATCCCTTTACAGCATTTGCCACGAGAAATCCGAGCTTTTCCAACAAGACCAACAACAAGTGCCAGAGGAGCGACAGTTTCGCAGAAAATCGTTGCCCTCACCAATTTTGTTGGACATGACAAATCCATTCCTTCGACCCCATCCATACAAGTCAATTGTGATGCAGTCCAATCGCATCGAAATACATTTCAAAATCATTTAATCATTGCATGAACTTTGTCAACGCAAAGATTTCTTTAAAGCAGTGCTTATTTTTAATAAGCATATTTTGAAACTGACATCACATCTGATCTCTTTTTCTGCAACTATTACGCTTTTGTCTAGAAAATTGCCTGCCACTCACGCACTCGAATTGCCAAGCTCAAAGTGAATTTCTGGCTTAAAGAACGGTCAGCGTAAGACTCTGCCACATGCCCCAATCAGTTGCGCAACGTTGAGAGAACGTATGTCCGAATACGTGAAAAACTTCATTTGGTGCAAGCGCAGCACAAAAACGAACGGACAAAGCATTGCCCCTGGCCAATTTTCTAAGACATTTGAAATGCATTTCCGTTTACCCACAAATGCCAATCACATATGTATGAAGGCGAAAATTAAATAATAAAAGATGCTGTTTCTTGTTAAAATTTAAACACGACTCATACTCTTGTATAAGCATTTTTCATTATTCGCCACTATATGCTTTTATGGCGAATAAATACAGGCTCAAATTGCCATAGCAGTTGCACTCATATATATATGTTCACGCGCCATAATTTAAATTAAGAATAGAGATGCCAGACTGGCAACAATTTTGTAAACAAAGCAAACAGCGTTGCCAAGCATTGAATTTTACAGGGCTGCAATTAGCTTCTGATACTGTGGATTTAACATCTGTGCGCACATTTCGAGTCACTTGAAGTTAGCTGCGCTCTACAAAAGTATTGATATCGTCTATCGATAAAGAAATAGTGGCAGCGAGAGAAAAATAAAAATTCCGCAACAACAACACACAAATTGAAGTGTAGTGAAGAATTAAATCTAATTATAACAAGCAACGGGCAAGCATTAAGAGCACGCATACACACCAACCCACATAAACAAGGCTAGTTAATTAGTGGAACAAAACTTGACGATATTTGGACACAACAACACAATTGCAAACGGGCAGGGCAGCGCGGCAGTGGCAGCGGCAGCGGCAGCAGCAGCAGCAGCAGCGGTAGTCGCAACGACAGCGGCAGCGGCAGGTAGTAGCCCAAACACTTGCGTCTGAGTGGGGCGCGCGCGCGGCATGGGTTGAGGTGTATATGCATATATATGTGTGTGTGTGTGTGTTGTGTGTCAGTGTGTGCGGGTGTGATGCAAAGAGCAGCAGTGACAGCAACAACAATCAGCGGCGCGTATAACTAAACCGAACGCCTACGTAATGGCCAACCAACTGGATGCCAATGTCAAGGACGATCTGAAAACGCAATTTGTTACCCGAGAGGGCACCTATCGCCTGCTCACCCTTTCCGAATACTCGCGACCTAATCGCGTCGGCTACAGCAACAATCAAAGCTCGCCCCAGGTGCGCGTCTCATTTGTAACGTTACCGAATCCCAGCAGTAAAAACAATAGCGAGGCGAATGTGGCGGCACCGCAAACAGCAGCAGGAACTCCAACAACATCGACATCGAGTGATAAGCGTACGCAATTGAATTCAAATGGCGCAACATCTACAACAACAACAACACCTGCAACACCAACAACAACAGCAACAACAACCACTGGTACATTGAATGGCGGCGGCGCCGGTGGCGACAGCAACTACAACGGCGGCAGCAG